ATAGAAACACTTGCAATCCTAATCCGTGCAGCACAGCATTATAAAAATGGTTATTACAAATAACTGTTAAATGCATAGCCCTTAGCTGCTTGCAGTCCCCTCTACTCCCTTTCTGTGGCCTTTCGTTTCCCCTGGCTGTGGGCAGCTCTAGTACAGTAGCTCCACACTGGGAGGATCCTGACCTTAGCGACTTTTCCCGGTGCCAATTCACATTTTGGAAGACAATCAAGTCCTGGAGCTGAATCTGCTCCTGGCACTGCTCTAGCCATGTGGCTAGGGTGATGCCAGTGGTGAATCTGACTGGAAATGTCTGTTGTTTCTTCAATAAAAGAGAAGTTAAAAAAGATCCCAACCCGGCACGGCACAGCAGAGCTGTGCCCCCCTGGCAATGCCAGCTGCATGCTGCCTGGAGCAGGCCAGCCAGCACGGTGGACAGATGGTTGCTGCCCATGCTAACACGTTGCTCTTTCGAGGAGGGACTCAAGCTTTTCCTCCATGTACTTCTGCATTTTAAATATCAATCCTCCATCCCCTTCTGTGTGTTCAGATACTAGCTTGCCAGGAAGCCTCGGACCAAACCAGGGACATCTTTCTCCCCAAAGGCCAGGGTAACATATGGCACACTTCCAAGCTCAGGGAACAAACGACTTGCTCAGGCACATGCTGGGTCGTGGGTGTCAGGGCAGGGGCTGGATATCTGGATGAACAGTGCCCAACTCTGCTGTCAAAGGGTTATGACCTCATGTCTCCTTTGCACACTCCACTGAAAACACAGCGGTGCAGCCCGTGGCTCCCCAGGCTGGGCTGTCCTGAAGCCATCAGCACGGAGTTCCCTTCTCCAGGACTTGACCAGCCCCATGCCAAGGTCCAGGCTCCAGCCTTGGGTTTGAAGCGGTCTCCCAGCCCAGGTTTAGGAAGGTGTATGGGAAGGAGAGGAGACTCCTCCTTTGCTCCTTCCTCCTCCCCTTGGGATCACCCACGCCAGGAACACTCCAAGCCTTTTGCAGTGACACAGAAATGCTTCCTGGCATCCATCAGTGAGGGACAGGACCCTGGTGCTCATATTGCAAAGCTAGACCTGCCTGCAGCTCTGAGCAGCCACAAAAGACCATGGAAAACCCAGGCTATTTCTCTTCCCTCTCTGCTTTTCCTGCACACAGGCAGATGTGTGCTTACACATGCACACAGGGATGCTCTGTGGGGCAGGAGCAGTGGCCTCGGAGTAGTGTGGCAGTGGGTGAGAGCACAGCAGGCAGCACACAGGCAGCGGAGTGCAAGGCAGTGCTGCAGAGAAATAGGATTAGCTTGGAGAAGGGAGGGAGAGTAGGAGGGAGAGTAGAAGGGAGAGAAATGATCCTTGTGGTGGGCTTCAGGACTTTGCTTGACACACATTGGTAAGAAACTAATAAAAAAGTGTGGCACCTGCTAACTGTGAGTGAAAGCCTGGAGGGGTGAGGGGTGAGGACTTGCTCAGTAATGCTGTGAGGGGTTGGGACCCTCAGCTGGCAGAACCCCCAGCAGTATTTAGGTGCCATACGAGGCATTAAGTGCTGTGGCACAGGAGCAGGAATTCCTCCATCACTCCTGGGAACGTAAAGCCTGGGTCTGACCCGGGGGCTGCCTGCCTCATGCATCACTTGGATGACAGCAGAGTTATTTTTTTCCTGACAGGACCCAGAAGCCAGGTCAGTCCCCATGTAAATCTATAACAAATCTGCCTGGGACTGGGCGGGTCGCCGAGAGGTGGCAACAGGCTGTACTCATCAGACGTGCCTGTAGCGAATGGCTCCGCACCACACAGGGAAGGGAGCAGAGGCACATTCTTTCCTGAGCAGGGGGGTTGCTACGCCAGAAGCTGCCGTCCTGGGTTGAAGGATTTGGGCTCTGATTGCCTCAGCAGAAACAAACGCTGCATTCCAGGGAGGCCATTCCTTGTGAGCAATTAAATAATAATAACATGATAGTAATAAGCAGATCAATCAATCCCTCCATGAGCTGAGGGATCCTGGGGAGAGAGCTGGACTTTTCCCAGAGCAAACTGGGACCAGCTCTTCTCCAATAAATACATATAATACCAGTAACAAACCTCAGATCTCAGGCCAAACTTTGTCTAATGACATCCGTGCAGGATGCGGGATGCACGTGGGGTGTACGGACATGACTTAACTTTGCCTGTGCAGAGGACACTGTCCAGGGCTGAGGGAGGAGAGAAGCAGTGTGGCTGCAGCAGACAGGGGCTTGTGATCTGTTTCCCACTCCCCCTTCCTTCTCAGGGAGGTGAGCTCAGGCCTATGGGATGATTACAAATCAAATTGCATCTCTGCAGCAAGCAGCCTGCCTCCCTGCTCCAAACTAATCAACCAAGACTTTCAGGGTTAAAGAATAGCAGCACTTGTCTCCGTGGGCATTGCAAGACCTATTTAAAAATCTTGACCCCTTTGGCTCAGTTGCTGAGGGAATTTTTCAGCTGAAAATGCCAGGGCTCTGGGAACTATTAAACCCCACAAACCCTGGATTGCTTTTATGCCTGCTCCAGGCTGCAACCTCGGATCTTTTTCTTTTCCCCTCTGCAAACTGCTGGGTAATGAACCCTTGTGGCATGCCAGCTCACCTCCCCTTCTCCCAGCTGGCAGCCCAGCTCCTCAGCGATGCCCTTTTGTTCCGCTGGTGCTGAGATCTGCAAACTCATTGCTAATTACTGCATCTGGGGCTTCCAGCTCCAGCGACAATGCCAGGACTTATGGCGGGCTCCTGGTGGCCAAAGTTCGTCCCCCTGCTTATTTCCCTACCAAAGACCATTATCTCTCATCTAAACTAGTTTTTTATACCAGTTTAAATGCTGCCCCTCCCCCTGTAATCTCAATGCAAATGAATTAAAAGTTCATTCTTCCGATGCTCAAATCCTGCACACTTTCTTTTTCACTTCTTATTTAAATCACACACTGTTTTGAACTAAACCTTTTATTTCCCCTCAATTATTATTTCTGGTGTGTTTTCCAGAGCCTTACAACACAGCATCTGATTATACACAAAGCTTCGGAATAAAGCCCTGTTTTTTCCCTTCATTAAGGACACAAAGGATTCCTGTGAGAGCGAAGCAGCACTTTGGACACTAATACAGCTTTACACCCCAAATCATATCCTGGCTCTCTGCAGAGCAAATTGGGGAGTGGATCCCTGCCTTTCCTTTGCATCCTTTCCAGCATCCTTTGCAGGCTCCAGCCAGCTCCTTACCTCCTTGGAATTAACATCTGATTAAGTGGTGCCAGCATGTTCCCTAACAGACTCCTGTTTGCTGGCTCTTCCTGCATCATGACTGGATGTGTTGCCTGGCTAATCCTGCCTTCTTACCTCCATGTTAGGGGTCCAGGGAGCTTGGTGGGCCCACACAAGATTTTGCTGCCCATTTGCTTCCATTTCGCATGGAAGGGAGTTATGCAGAGTCACACATAAAAGCTTAGGAAAGATCAGTAACCTGTAAACCCCACAGCCCTTCCTGAAGCCTAAAATTAATGAACTTTGGGCCAATTGATAAGACCAAGGACATCAAGGCAGGCAGTGGCAAGGCTGCTTGTAACCCACATAGGTAGTTCCCGCGTCCTTCCCAGATCTGAGATCTTGTCATCTGGAAACTGCCTGAATCAAACCAGAAGCACAGGAAACCACCCTGTCTGCAGCACCATTTCCCTTATTTAATGTCATCATGCAGAAAGGGATAATGTATGCTGTGTTTACCAAGCAAAGAGGGGAGAGCTTTCTATCAAAACGATGCATTTACCGAGCTGATTAGCTGCACAAGAAGTCTCTCTAAGCAAATGGTTTCTATCTTGTTGAATATTCTAGCATTTTAAAAATAAACTACTAATTTTTATCTAGTTTTAAAGTACTTCTGGCTGCAACAAGAGGTTTGGTGGTCACCTGGAGCGGACAAGAAGCATTTGGACTTGTGGGGGTTCAGGACAGATTTCAAAGGCAGTGCTCAGAGTGTGAGAAGCAATTTGCCAAATAAACACAAGATGGGAGTTGGATCACTGGTTTCCACAAAGAGACTTATTTTAATGCAGAAAAGTTTTGTCCAACAGGCTTTGCACGGGTCTGTCAGGTAAGGGTACTAGACTTGCAGCTCTGATATCATACCATGCTTCTCCTTTGGGACCTTGGGCAATTCAGGTTATCCCTGTCTCTCTTAAACTCCCTATCTGTAGGACCGAGATATTGCTGTCTGCAGTAAATATCTGCAAAGTGTTCGAATGTGGGGGTTATTACCGTTAAATATCTGTGCAGCTTTCACCTCTGCTGCACTGAGAAACCAGCAGGTACGAACAATCCCTACAATAACCTGTCTAGCACATGCAGGAGTGAATGTGGACTAAGAAACATGAGGAAAGGCAGAGCTGCTCCATACTGGGATTTTTTTTTCCCTTAAGTATTCAAAATCTGATGTAATTAGCTGCTCTGGCCACTATAAGCTTGCCTTCAATTTAGAAACAGCCAAGCCAGGCCATGTGCTTCCTTGAGAGCCCAGCTGCCTTTCTGACCTGCTGAGGAGCAATGTGTATGTCCCAAATGCCAGGCTGGCCACTTTTTATTCTGTTGCATCTGAAGTAAAATTAACATCTGAATGCCAACGATCCAGGTTAGCCCGACCTCTGAAGAATACACACCACCAGGGAGGTCATGGAACGCCACAAAAGCCATGAACAAAACCACTAATTGGTATCTTTTCGGCTGTATCCCTGTGCCACCCTTCTCAAACCACCCTGTGCTGCCTTCGGAACTGCCGAGGCAAAACCTATTTTTGCAGAGCCAGAATAGTTAATGATACTTTGTGTTACTGATTCTGTAATTCATGTTGTTTGTGCTGGCAGGGAATTCCCTGTGACATTTTATCTCAGCCAGTCTCCTCTGGCTGTTTTAAATACTTGGAATTATTATTTCTGGCTCATGGGTCCACCCTAGGTCATGGCAGGGTTATTTCTGGGTTGTGCACAAGCACTTGGCCACTCTCCCCAGTGCTGGTGGTCTGGAATAGATAGGATATATCAGGGGTGGGGGTCAGGGGGAGTGCAAAGTTTGTGGTTGACTGGGAACAGACAAAATTAAGGCAAATGGGCCTTAAGGTGTTGTCCTGGCTGTTCCTGGTGCCACTGAAGGAGGTACTGGGCTGGGGGACTGGGGAGTGGAGAGCCCAAGGGGTGAGGCAGGGAGTGGTGAGTGGGCAGGGCCGAGCAAGCAAAGGGGCAGAGCAATGCCAGGGTGCTGGTCTGGGATCTGAGTGTTCTCTGTGGGGGAGAGCTGGGGGTTTGATCTGCACCTGGAAATGGAGGGTGATTTGGGGAAGGGTGCCTGTGTGTGTGTAGGGGGGGAGATAGGGCGGGGGAGGGCTTGGAGGCTCCCATCAGTGCGGGGACACAGGGTTTGAGAGGCATCCCTTAGCTGTGTGGGCTGCGGCAGCTCTGCTTGGCAGGCTGCTTCTCTGAATCAGCTGTGTATATTCATAAGCGCTGTGCACGCTGGGCCCCGGAGCTGGAAGGCATATCACAAAGGGCACATTTTTAACACTTCTTTTAATCCCTCGATCCTGTGCATTTAAGCCTGAACTGCCTTGCATTTGAACCTCTGCAAATGCCTTTTGCAGCACCCCCCAACCCACAGCCTGCTCTCGAGAGAAACTAATTAAAGCTGCCTGACAGGCTGCTAAATATTAAGAGCCCAATAACGGCGCAGGCACAGGGACATCATCATCTGAATGACAAAAGCTGGTAGCCAGTGGTTGCTGATAGATAGTGGGGCCGGGCAGGCTTGTGCCTGCCTTGCTCATCAGCAGACATCCCGGTGCCCTGGGAACACCATCCGCGGAGATCGCTCCAGCACTTTCTGCTCCTTATCCCACGCGTTTCACAGCCAGGCTGAGGCTGGGCTTGCTGCCGATTCATATCACGTAAAACCAGCAGGGCCAGCTGGTTGACGTGGGTTGCGGGGTCCTGACCCTCATTTCTGCCCTTCCTCCAAATATTCTGCAATTACACGTCGATTGCTTGGCGGGGAGAAAAGCAAACACGCTGCAAACGCCGGCGCGCTGTGGTTGCTTGCTCTCAGCCGTAGTGGCTGTGGCACAGGCTGCTGCTAAAGAAAAAAGTGGGTGAAAGGCAGAACCGGTGTTTTGGGGTTGTTCATGTCATGGAAAGCCCAAGAGACGCTCCAGGATGACTAGCCACAGGCACAAGTTCTAGCTAGTGTGGAGAAAAAAAAAAAACAAACAGGCAGAAAGGAATTTGAAGGAGAAAAAGGGAATTTGAAATTCAGCTAAATCACACTTCTCTCTGAAAATTTCATTCCTGCGATTGTTCAGAGCAACACGTACAATTACTTTAGCTGAAAGAAATGATAAAAAGCATTTGGTTTTCTCAGCTCGTTTACTTTCTACATCTGGCAGTGTTTTGTGTGCAGGCAGTCTCACCGTGTTCCCGAGGTAGAGCGCTTGGAAATGGAAGCTGAAGAATAACGGTGCAAGATGTTTTTTTTAAACTGTTTTGCAAACGCTTCTGCTTCTAGCGACCAATAGATGAGCTAAAGCCCTTGGCAAAACCGATATGACAATAAATAACATAGCTGTTTGCAGTGTTATTGTAACGGTGAGAAAAACCTCCACGCTCCTTATTTAATATCCAGATCCTACCTTGCAGTAGTAGAATGTGCTGGCAGTAACTTTCCCGAAGAAAAACTGCCCTTTGGTCCCTTACTGTCCCAAACGGTGCTGTCACAAAAGGGCTGAAATAGGGATGCGTTTCCTTCATGCACTTCCATGGGGATTGCCATCTGCCCTATAGACTGTCCACCTCCTCAAAGCTTGACGTCCTCCATAGGAAGGGGCATTAAATGAGCTGGGAAGCAGTGTATTCTTCTGATTTGAGCAGATGCTGAGGAGACACTCTGTGATTTAGGGGCCTGATGGCATGGTCTGTAGTGAGCAGGGTGTTCTGAAAGAACCCAAGATCCAGCACATGGCAGACTTGCATGCGAGACATGCATTGGCAGTTATTCACGGCCTAGAGGCTGCTGGATAAGGATGTTATGGCTCTGGGATGACGTGTGGGTTCAGAGCCATGGTTCCCACCTGGCAAGTCTCTCAGTACTTCAGCTTGATTTGCTCTGGGAAAGAGGGAAGATGAACACAAGTAGAGCAAAGCTCTGCAGTTAGGGCACTTCAGGGTCAGAGGATACAGCCCTCCCAGAGCCCTGAGCTCCTTCTCTTCCTCTCCTTGGCAAGTCTGTAGCAGACAACAGAGGCACAAAGGACACTGCAATTTGAAACGACCATAAGCGTTTTTCTGTAATGAAGTCAACTGTTGGGGGGAACTGGTCATAAAAAAACCTGTTGGGGAAAATTCAGATGAAGTTTAGCTGCCCTTTAATGTGCAAGTGTGCAAAATCACAGCTCCAGTCCAAAGTGGAGTTCCTCTTTCTTACCTGAGGCACTCTCCCTCTTGAATGTAATGAGTCTCATCCCCTGGCTTGTTATCCCTTTCTCCAGTGAAGCTGAGATGTTTGATGGAAGCAGGGCAAAATTGCTGGAAACTTTTCCCATGTGCACTCTCTGCTTATCTCACACATTTCTATTAGTGCCCCTAAACCTGCACTAGCAGCACTGAGGGGGGCTTGGCTCATGTTGGTTTAACCCACCCTGGCTAAGTGATCATGATGCTTCCCACATATTCTCCAGGGACTGTTTACAAACTGTCTTTCCTCTCCAGATCCCACTGGATGAGAAGACAGGAGAGAGGATGGATCCCAGGGACAGGACTTCTGCCCTTCAGTCACCCCCAGGTCAGTGGGTTTTGGCAGCCCAGCACAGTACCTAGTGCCTGCACATCATGCATCATTCAGAGCATGGGGATAAAGCCCAGAGTTCTGGCTATGGGTTGCTTAGAAATTTTTGAATAAAATTGCTTTTCCATGAGACAGTTCAAGCTCATCAGAGCTGATTTGTTCCCCAGAAGTACAGCAGCTGCTATAAACCTTCACTGAGAAAAGGATGGAATTTCTCCTTAAAGCCAAAGCTGGAGAAGGATATAATATCAGGCCTGCCTGGCTAGTAGCCAAGTGATTATGACAAGGAAAGACTGAGTACAAATCTTTTAGATGACCAGAGCTTGCACTTGAACCTGGGTCTCTGACAGTCAGTGGGTGCTAACTCTCCAAGATTGGGATGTGACATGGGGAAGCCAAAGGAAACCAAGAAACGCTGCAAAACCAAAAGCAAGCAAGCAAACAAACAAACCCACCCAAACCAAAACCAAAAAAACAAACCCACGAAAAAACACAACACAAAGAAGCTGGAAGCTGTCATGAATCAGGGAGAATTTCCAGCTACAAGCTTGCTCTCAGCTATCCTTATGCTGAACTGCTTGGCTAAACCCCTAAGGGTATCTCTGAAGTCTCCTTTTCTCTTCCTCCCTCTTTGAATACATACATCATATTGAAACATACATACATACATGAGTTGTAATATACAGAACATATTCAAAGTATTTTACATACAGACTACATGTAAAGTTTCCATTAAGCCTTCTGGGCTTTGTGCAGTACCTGCAAGAACATCTGCAATGAAGTGGAGATTTAACAAAACCCTCTTTATATAAAAGTTTGAGTCATGGAATCAAATTGTGTTCCACACAGGGGCACAAAAGTAGTACAAAAATTAAGATATTAATTTTAATGTGATCTTAAACGTTGGTTCCAATTAGGCATATGCCCAAGTCCCATTGGAATTAAGCACATCATTTCTTTGCTGAACAGGGAAGGCTGCTGAATCAGGACTCCAGACTGTAAAATTGCTCAATTGCCTTCAAATTTCTGGGGGAAAAAAAATAGTGTGCTCTGAAAGCAATCACAAAATACATTTGGTATTCAAAGAGTATAAGTGAGTGCAGGGATTATAATTAAATCCTTATCTACGAAGCTGCTACTGAGTGACTGTACATTCTGGGTAATTTTTAATGGCCTGAAACTCAAAAAACAGCATAACCAATTTTTTTATTTTTTTTTTTTTTGCAGAAGACACAGCTAGTTAGGTATAATTCTGCAACAAATCCATTACTCCAAAACAAGTCCCTGATCCTGCCAGCGCGACTTTTAACAATGCAAGTGTACCAAGGGAAGCCATGGCAGAAGCTACTGGTGTTAATATGGGGCAACAAGCGAGAGTGGAGACCAAATAAAAATGAGGATGGGGTCAAGCTCTGAAACGTGCAGTGGAGCTCTAGCCCTCCTCTTCAGTCCCATGGCTGTTTCTGCCAAGGGCCTGGGAGAAAGCCCATAGCAAGGTGACAATGTGTGACAGCAGAGGAGACATCAGCTGTAACCAGACTCATGAGGGCAAAACCTTCTTTCTCCCTCCTTACCCCTCAACTACTTAACTATGCCATATTTTTAAAAAAGAATTGTTTGTCAACACTCTTCACCTGGGTGAAAAACTCAGTGGTACAGTAACAGTGGTTTAGTAAATAAAGTCCCACATTAAAGAAAGGATACACAGGGTGAATTTTCAAACCTGGGTAAATGATATTTTTTTAAAAAGCTTGGTAAATTAAAAGACAACTTGTCCAATTTTACTCGACCTTTTGGGAAAATTCATCACACTTTGAAGCCAAACAAGTTTTAAATACAGTAATAAAAATATGAGGTTACGGTTCAGAATGGAAAGAATGGATTGTCTTGCTGGAGAAAGGCTACTGTCTTTCCCAAAAGTGCAGTGAGACTGAGGATGAGCACTTCTTGGGTGTCATTTTCTGTAAAACTGTATTCTTAAAAAAAAGAAATCTTGCCACAATTACAGGATCAAACATGAGGTCTTGCCTGACATAAAAGGTCGCATGGCTTTAACTGCAAATGAGTTTTATAAAAAGCCCTTAAGCAGGTCAAAGCATAGCAGGGACACTTTTTGTGGCCCAGTTCCCCTCCCTTCCACAGCTCACCCCCACTGAGGTGGGGTTGTGGTACCACTGGGAAGGCTTCTCCTCGTGGCGAGGGGATGCTGCCATCCCTGGGGATTAAACAGAGACCAAAATAGCCTTGCTACTTATAGACAGGGGTCCCCAGGTCTCAATCCTGCTGCCTTGGGCTCCAGCACCCTTGGCCACCCAGTGCAGGGAGCTGTGCTTCTCACCTTCTCCACCTGCTACTGCTGCCCCGGCCAAGTCAGCGGAGCCCCCACCCCGGCATTATGGAAGTGCTGCCCAGGGCTCGACACGACCAAGCTGTGGCACAGGGCCACAGCAACAGAGAGATGGGGATAGGTGGGAATTTGTGCCAGGACCCTGAGACTGGTGTGACATCCTTCAGCTTGCTGCATGGTCATCAACTCTCCTGCTTATGCTGCTGTATGACTTTGGGGATGCAATGTCTGAGCTTGTCTTTCATGGTCCTGGGCTTTATTTTTTTTCCCCCTGAATGCTGCCTATCTGCACATTTTATTGGCTTCTGTGCATTGGTTGCTAGGTAGCTCCCACTCCTACTCCCTTCTGCTCACCCTTAACTTATTGCTGATCTCTCCGGTAGTTCCTGCATCTTTTAATTACATTAATACCTGGTACAGTCAAATGAAAAAGGAAAAAAAAAAAAGAGGAAAAATGTGCTCCAGGAACAAGTAAAGGCCAGTCAGCACAGCAGGCTTCCCTCTTTTGGCTTTATCTTAATCCCCCCTTCCTGCTTTTTCAAGCAGACCCCCTCGAGTCCTTTTCCTTCTCTTGAGAAAAGCCCAGGCATCTCTTGAACTCATTTCTGCACTTTGCCTCAACCGTCTCCCCCGTAACTTATTCCATATGTTTGCTTGGCTTTGCCTTCTGCCACAGTTCTCTCTTTACTCCCAGCTCCTGAACCCTCATATCACATCACTGGGGCGCTTTGTTGACTTAATTGGATCATCAGCCTGGCTGTAAAGCTTCCCCAGCCAGCCCTGCTCCCCTCTTCTGGGCTGCTGCCCCCGCCCTGAGGCTGTAGAAAAACGTATTTCTGTGCTGGATGTATAAATAGATGATGCAGGTTAAATTTAAAATATATTGAAGCTGATAACCACAGGTGTAGGGGCTGCAATTCATCCACTGGAAACAAACGCCTCTTTCTGGCAGGGAGTAAAAGGAGAGGGATACCCTGTGGCCTGGAGAGTGAGGAGTGTTTTTCTCCTCCTGATCTCCCCCTGCTCCTCCTCTGCTCCTCTCCTGCTCTCCCCCCGCTTCCCTCCTGCTACCCCTCTGCTCCTCTCTTGCTCCCCACCCCGTTCCCCTCCTGCTGCCTTCTCCCGTGCTCCCCCTCCTTCCCTCTCTGTTCCCACCCCCCACTGCTTAAAGGTCCATGCTTGCGCAGGGAGGGCAGGGGGTTTCAAAGGCCCACAGAGGAGGTCCTGGCTCTGCTCCAGGCTGCAGGATCAGCCAAAGGGCAGCATGTCTGCTGTGCAGGGTGCCCAGAGGGCAGGTGTAGGGTCAAGCTGTGTACCCCCACCCACCAGGCCCCCAAAGCTGCCCTAGCACCGAGCACCAGGTGAGGCACGTGTCCCTCTGAACTTATTGCCCAGACTTATGCTAATCTTGGAATTGATTGGATCTTGATGCATCAAACCCACACCAGGGTGTACCAGTGTACTGCAGGCCCTGAGCTGCTCCCCTTGCTTGCTGCATCCCACTGCACAGTCGTGAGCAGGAGAAGCACCCATCATCCCTTCTCCTAAGCATGGGCACCTCAGCCTCTGACCTGTGGGAATCTTGGGCTGGTCCCAGTGCAAATGGGACACCCACAAGGCCCGCTGTGGTGCAGGCAGCAGGGCGAGCACCAGCCAGCACTCCGCCAGCCAGGAGGCTACAAATGCATGGCGTAACTCCTCCTTCCACCAAAAATGAATGGCAGGTGTTCTGGTTGGACTGTGATGGAATAGAGGATTTACACAGCTCTAATGCTAATAAAGGCCATTCACTGTCTGGGAGGGGAAAGGAAAAAAGAGAAACTTAAAGCCCAGTCTTTCTGTGTTGTTCAATCCATGGCATGGCCAGCTTCAGAAAGAAAGTGCTGCAGTTAGGGTTAATTTTTCTTCCTGCAAAAAATATTAAGAGCCCTGCTTATGTTTATGAACAGCAGAAGTCTTAGTTGTAGTGTCATACTAATAAAAAGGCTTGCTTGCTCTCACATTTTACTTTACGAAAACTTTGGAGTTGGTGTGGAACTCTGTATCTGGGGAGCCTCACTGGTATATGGAACCCAGGAACAACTTATCCCTTACCATGCAGACCTCTCAGGATCCAGAGGAGAAAGCACTCATCCTCCCCTCTGCCCAGACAAACCCCTCCTTGTAGATTCACATACCCATGTGCCTTCAAGCCTTGAGCTGAAGGCTGCCAGCTGCAAGACATCCTCAGATCACACTGCTGCTTTGTTTGAACCACAGCCGTGCTGTGGAGCAGGTCTCTCTCTTGGACATTCCCGCAATTTCCTGGGCTGGTTTGAAACCATTACACAGCCTTCTGCTCCTAAGTCTTACTTGAAATGCCACCTGTTGTTGCTGCAGAGTCCAGATGGGAAATGAAGGCAGCAGGAGCCCAGCATGTCGTCGTTGAATCACTATCCCCAGTGGTATTTAAAAGATGTGTAGATGTGGTGCTTCAGGACATTCTTTATGGGTGAACTTGACCGTGCTGGGTTAATGGTTGGACTTGATGACCTTAAAGGTCTCTTCCAACCTAAATGAGTCTATGAGTCCATGTGATCAGTCAATAGGTGACTTTTCTCCAACGAGGCCCACTTGATCGGATACATGCCTTTTCTGTGCTCTTATCTGCCTGCCTGCCACCTGCAGAAACACTGGGGCTAAGGTGGTGTCCCTGGGCTTTGTATACTACATACCTCCCTAACAGCACCTTCCTGCAAACGCAGCCCAGGCATTGCTGCCTGTCACCTCTGTGCTAAGGAGTAACACCATTTCCCTTGAACTCTGGGCGCTACTCAGGGGCAGTGGCAGGAAGAAAATACGGGGTGGTTATGTAACCAGGACTGAAATAACTAGGTAGATAAAATCCTAAGAGGAGTAATCCATCTTTTGAAATGGACTAGCAGCTTGAAAAATTTAGAAATCTTCATCAAACTATTACAAGTCCGAACTGTGCATGTGCTTTGTTTTATGGGTTCTTAACACATACAGGACATGCAATTATAATTAAGGATTTGCAGTCCATCTTCTTGATATTGGAGTTGGACATCAGAGACCATGATAAATAATCTGTAAACGAGCCTTCAAAACTGAATAATCTAAGAAAACAAAAAAGACTCTTGGCATATAAATCACCGATATACTTAATGTTGTCCCCTTTTAGTGATGGAGGTCTGGATTAAAACCAGAAAACATAGAGTTAAAATATGCCCAGCAATATATCCAAGGTAACCTTTATCAGCTCTGTGCCTAATAGGAAAGTAACAGGACTAGAAAATTATTTCACCCAATCAAAGGATAGAATAGAAAATATTTCTTTCTACTTAAAGGAGAGTCATACAGAAGTGTTAACTTTCACGATGTGGCAGGTGAAAATCCCATGAAAATCCTCACCTGTACCTCTATCCTGACCATGACTTGCTGCTCGTACTGCTTATGAACACAGAGGTTTCTCTGGGCAGGTGGCCCCACCCTGTGCTCCCAAACACAGCTGTTTGGCTTTGGCTTCACTTTTAAACACTTACTGGCTCGGACCCATCCTCATTGTGCTAGCAAAGCAATGCTTGAGGAAACACTATCTTCTCCCACCTTGGTGAGGAGAGGAAATGTGTTTTCCCTTATTTTTAAGCCTGTGGTTTGTCGAGCATACTTCTAACTTGTTCTGTAATACTCACTAGCCACGCTGGAACGACATAACCCCTGCGCTGGTGCCAGGAGCTACAGCCTGGCCAGTGTCAGCCCACAGAGGCTCAGCCTGCCGAGGCTCAGCCTGCCGAGGCTCACGTGGCTCGGCCATCAGAGCCGCGCTCCCGCTGCTGAGCTGAAGGATAACTGTTTTGGTCACACGTGCAGCTCGCTGCTTCCCTGTTTGCAGCAGTCTGTTCCCTCAGGAGCACTGAACTGTGAGTTCCTCTTAGCAGAAGGGTGAGATAGAGGGGGAAAAAAATGTACTGAAGACAGCCTTCTACGAGAGGTGCAAACCCCAGCGCAGTCAACCCCACCGCTTTGTGTAAGTTGACCCTTGCTTAAAACTTCCTTGCTGGCCTGATTGGACACAGTGTTGGTGATCCAGTGTGTTGCAAGTCAGTTCTCCTCCTGCTCTGGGGCCACAAATTCCTCATCTGACTCTACAGCCTCCTCATGCCAGCACTG